TCGGTTCCAGTCTTTTTCGATCCATCTGGAGGAGTGTTCACCATGCTGAGGAAAGTTTGGAGGGCTTCTGTGCAGGGTTTGAATGAGCTTGCCTGAGCATATTAAACCCAATTAGGATATTTCTTTCAGTAACACGATCTCTGATGCTTGGAATATCAAGTTCTTTTTGCATATTTAAAATTTGGCAGTACGAGGGCATCCTAGGATGATCCTTATTGCTTCGTTCTGCAGTTTTTCCAGCCCTCCAAGCTTCCAGTCAGACACAAGAGCAAGTAGTGGCGCAGCATAATCAACCAATGATCTAATATAAGCAAGATACATCATTTTCACAATTTTAACATTAGCACCATACCTGGGGTGAAGCCCTGCCACAACTCTAAGTGCTCTTAGTCGTTCTTTGTATTGGCGACAAAGTCTTGTTACAACAGGTCCAAGTAGTGGAACCTCAAAGCCTAGATACCTGTATCTGCTTACATATTCTAGAAGAGATCCATCATGCATTCTAGTGGTACACTCTGTAATCACAATTTTACTACATGTAAACCAAACAATAACCAAATTTCTGTAAACTCAGCATTGTAATCCTTATAGAGAATAAACTTTGAATTGAATTGAACTGTGCCTCTCTGTCGAGGAGGACGCCGTTTTATCAGTAGAGATTATCAACCCCAGGTCCTGACACGAGGCTAGTACATGATTAAGAATGTTTTGGGTGTTGGAGAATCCGGTGGTGTGAATCATTATATCATCAGCAAAACTAATCACATAATTATGGGGCTGACTAGGCATAGCATTAAGTAATGCATTAATTAGCTCGCGTGAGTGTGAGTTTTCATCAGAGCTGCCTCCTGGTGTTATTACTGCAACAATAAATAACAAAAAGGCACAATATCGTGACTGGAACGATACACAAATAACCCGCACATAAAAGACAGAAGCCCACGACGACGTTTCGGTCCGACTTGGACCATTGACAAAGTCACACTAACAGAGGAGGAGCAGGACGGCTATATATAGCCGTCCTGCTCCTCCTCTGTTAGTGTGACTTTGTCAATGGTCCAAGTCGGACCGAAACGTCGTCGTGGGCTTCTGTCTTTTATGTGCGGGTTATTTGTGTACTGCAACAATATTATTTGCTATATTCCTCCATTTTAGGTGCCTTAAGTTGAAATCCCCCAGGAGCAAGATGTTGGGTGCAGGAGCTGGAAGATTTTCCAGACAGTGGTCAATTTTTAACAGCTGTTCCTGGAATTGCTGGGATGTTGCATCCGGAGGCTTGTAGACTACCACAATGACTAGGTTTTGGTTCTCGACCTTTACTGCTAAAACTTCCACTACATCATTTGAGGCATTTAGCAGTTCTGTGCAAACAAGTGACTCTGCAATGTACAGGCCAACCCCCCCCCCCATCCCTTTTGCCTGTTCACTCTGTCACATCTGTATAGGTTGTAACCTGGGATCCATATTTCGTTGTCCAAGTGATCCTTTATGTGGGTCTCAGTGAAAACCGCGAACATTGCCTTTGCCTCTGCAAGCAGTCCACGGATGAAAGGTATTTTGTTGTTTGTTGCTGGCTTTAGACCCTGTATATTTGCCAAGAAGAATGTTATCGGACTGGTGGTATTGTTGGTACTGACTGATGTTGTAGTGGCCAGACTTAGGCTTGGTTACAAGTACTGACTGATGTTGTAGTGGCCAGACTTAGGGTTGGTTACAAGTACTGACTGATGTTGTAGTGGCCAGACTTAGGCTTGGTTACAAGTACTGACTGATGTTGTAGTGGCCAGACTTAGGCTTGGTTACAAGTACTGACTGATGTTGTAGTGGCCAGACTTAGGCTTGGTTACAAGTACTGACTGATGTTGTAGTGGCCAGACTTAGGCTTGGTTACAAGTACTGACTGATGTTGTAGTGGCCAGACTTAGGCTTGGTTACAAGTATTGGTGATGTTGTAGTGGCCAGACTTAGGCTTGGTTACATGTACTGACTGATGTTGTAGTGGCCAGACTTAGGCTTGGTTACAAGTACTGACTGATGTTGTAGTGGCCAGACTTAGGCTTGGTTACAAGTACTGACTGATGTTGTAGTGGCCAGCCTTAGGCTTGGTTACAAGTATTGACTGATGTTGTAGTGGCCAGACTTAGGCTTGGTTACAGGTACTGACTGATGTTGTAGTGGCCAGACTTAGGCTTGGTTACAAGTACTGACTGATGTTGTAGTGACCAGCCTTAGGCTTGGTTACAAGTACTGACTGATGTTGTAGTGGCCAGACTTAGGCTTGGTTACAAGTACTGACTGATGTTGTAGTGGCCAACCTTAGGCTTGGTTACAAGTACTGACTGATGTTGTAGTAGCCAGCCTTAGGCTTGGTTACAAGTACTGACTGATGTTGTAGTGGCCAGCCTTAGGCTTGGTTACAAGTACTGACTGATGTTGTAGTAGCCAGCCTTAGGCTGGTTACAAGTACTGACTGATGTTGTAGTGGCCAGACTTAGGCTTGGTTACAAGTACTGACTGATGTTGTAGTGGCCAGCCTTAGGCTTGGTTACAAGTACTGACTGATGTTGTAGTGGCCAGACTTAGGCTTGGTTACAAGTACTGACTGATGTTGTAGTGGCCAGACTTAGGCTTGGTTACAAGTACTGACTGATGTTGTAGTGGCCAGACTAGGCTTGGTTACAAGTACTGACTGATGTTGTAGTGGCCAGACTTAGGCTTGGTTACAAGTACTGACTGATGTTGTAGTGGCCAGCCTTAGGCTTGGTTACAAGTACTGACTGATGTTGTAGTGGCCAGACTTAGGCTTGGTTACAAGTACTTCTGGCAGTTTGGGAGACACACAGATGATCAAACTAAATGTAAATTATGTGATCAGGCATATGGTCACTGTCTTGAACACTATGTGCTTAATCAATAAAGCTAATAGAATCCTTGGCTTCATATCAAGAAGCATAAATAACAGGAGTCCTCAGGTTGTTCTTCAACTCTATACATCCTTTTTTAGGCCTCATTTAGATTATGCTGCACAGTTTTGGTCACTACATTACAGAATGGATATAAATGCTCTGGAAAATGTACAAAGGAGGATGACAAAGTTGATCCCATGTATCAGAAACCTTCCCTATGAATATAGACTGAGGGCCCTGAATCTGCACTCTCTGGAAAGACGTAGAATTAGGGGGGATATGATTGAGGTATATAAATGGAAGCCAGGAATAAATAAAGGGGATGTAAATAGTGTGCTGAAAATATCTAGCCTAGACAGGACTCGCAGCAATGGTTTTAAGTTGGAAAAATTCAGATTCAGGAAGGATATAGGAAAGTACTGGTTTGGTAATAGAGTTGTGGGTGAGTGGAACAAACTCCCAAGTACAGTTATAGAGGCCAGAACGTTGTGTAGCTTTAAAAATAGGTAGGAGACTTGGACCTGCCTCGCATGGGCCAGTAGGCCTTCTGCAGTGTTCCTTCGTTCTTATGTTCTTATGTTCTTAAATACATGAGTGGGTGTGGGTGGGTGTGAGTTGGACCTGATTAGCTTGTGCTACCAGGTCGGTTGCCGTGTTCCTCCCTTAAGTCAATGTGACCTGACCTGACTAGGTTGGGTGCATTGACTTAAGCCGGTAGGAGACTTGGACCTGCCTCGCATGGGCCAGTAGGCCTGCTGCAGTGTTCCTTCGTTCTTATGTTCTTACGTTCTTAATTGTCCACTTATTGAGGAATACAGAGACAGACAGTATAATAACCTATGTGTCATGTCAAGATATCTTATTAATGAAAATAAGATACCAGATATACTAAGCAAATTTCTTAAATTTGTTTGTAACAGATAAGTGAACTATAGATATGTAGATATAAATCCATATGTATTCCTGTTAACCCTTTGGGGCCTAGTTCCTAGGCCTTTTGTGTATCCATATGCTCTCGCGCTACCGTCCACAGGATGGATATGGGGTGCACAAAATACTAGCCACTTCGGTGGCAAAATCTAAAAATCTTGTGTATCTTTATTGAGGAAATGTTTCGCCACACAGTGGCTTCATCAGTCCATACAAAGGAGAATCGTGAAGAACAGGAGGTGACACCACCTACGACTGCTGCACCTCTCCTGCCTACGGTTTATAAGCTACTTCTTTGCACATACGCCATATTCTACTCAAGATTGATGGACTGACCACATCGACTCAAGGTTGAGGGACTGATTACCTCATTCTCCTTCTGTTCTTCACGATTCTCCTTTGTATGGACTGATGAAGCCACTGTGTGGCGAAACGTTTCCTCAATAAAGATACGCAAGATTTTTAGATTTTGCCACCGAAGTGGCTAGTTTATTGTGCCGCCCATATCCATCCTGTGGACGGTAGCGCGAGAGCATATGGATACACAAAAGGCCTAGGAACTAGGCCCCAAAGGGTTAACAGGAATACATATGGATTTATATCTACATATCTATAGTTCACTTATCTGTACGCAAGAGTTGCACATGTGTCTAATTTATTAAGTGAGACTCTACCTGAGACCATAACCGGATCTCTCTCGGAGTCGTAAAAGTTTCAAGTGAGACTACCTGAGACCATGACCGGCTCTGCTACAAAGCCGTAAAAGTAGTGCTGAAAAGTTATTTAAGGCTTACATAAAAAATATTTTTAAAGTAGATATTTATAATTATATAAGAAAGCAAATAAATACTAAATAAACTTAGAAATATGCTTTAAATATAAAGATAAGATGAAATGTAATAAATAGCTTTATTTGTTATATTTTATTTGAATTAAAATCGATGTAATTTGTGATAAAAATAAATTACATAAGCAATATTTATTATTTGTTATGTTGTTGCTGTGGAGGGAAGCTGCCAGCTTCTCGTGTCCGAATCTTTTCTTAAATATTCATATTGACCCAAAATTTTTTAAAAACAAGCAATATAAAATATTTCCTACTTAAAAAATCCTTTTAATTTTGAGTTAATAGAAAAGTATATGACAATAAGAGGGATACATGTTAATTTAGAGTCAAATATGATGTGGCGAGATGCTGAAGGGATCGAACAAATGTATCTGACTAGCAGGATTCTTAGGGTAGAGTGGGCACGTATTTTAGCGTGGACGATGGGCGTGGTGGGCGTGGTAGTGGGCGTGGTGGTAGGGCTATACATCCTCAGGAAGTGCAGGGAGGCCAGATGGGGGAAATGTAGCAGTAAACGTCGCATGGAAGGCAAGGTGAGACCTACTGCTGTAATGGGAGCTTCCAGGCGAGTGTCTCTCAAGGTTCCTTGACGCTGGTGAGGGGCTCTTGATCTTGGGAATTGGATCTGTGCTCCAGTTCCCTGAATTAAGCCTGAGCACCTTCCATCCCCCACAGGCGCTGTATAATCCTATGGGTTTAGCGCTTCCCAATGAGGAGGCCCGGTGGCCTGGTGGCTAAAACTCCCGCTTCACACACGGAGGGCCCGGGTTCGATTCCCGGCGGGTGGAAACATTCCGACACGTTTCCTTACACCTATTGTCCTGTTCACCTAGCAGCAAATAGGTACCTGGGTGTTAGTCGACTGGTGTGGGTCGCATCCTGGGGGACAAGATTAAGGACCCCAATGGAAATAAGTTAGACAGTCCTCGATGATGCACTGACTTTCTTGGGTTATCCTGGGTGGCTAACCCTCCGGGGTTAAAAATCCGAACGAAATCTTATCTTATCTTATAATCACGCGAGTGAGGGGCTTTTGATCCAAGGAACTGGATCTGCTCCTTCATTCCCTCGGATCAAACCTGATTGTCTCTACATTCCTTTAGGTGCTGTATAACATCCCTATTGGTTTAGCGCTTTCCTCAATTACTCAGATATGGTAAACACGAGGAAATTAAATCTTCATCAGAGTACAAAACAAATTCTGGCCACAAAATAGAGCGAAACACCAACGTCAAAGACCTGGGAGTGATCATGTCGGAGGATCTCACCTTCAAGGACCATAACATTGTATCAATCGCATCTGCTAGAAAAATGACAGGATGGATAATGAGAACCTTCAAAACTAGGGAGGCCAAGCCCATGATGACACTCTTCAGGTCACTTGTTCTATCTAGGCTGGAATATTGCTGCACACTAACAGCACCTTTCAAGGCAGGTGAAATTGCCGACCTAGAAAATGTACAGAGAACCTTCACGGCGCGCATAACGGAGATAAAACACCTCAATTACTGGGAGCGCTTGAGGTTCCTAAAACTGTATTCCCTGGAATGCAGGCGGGAGAGATACATGATTATATACACCTGGAAAATCCTAGAGGGACTAGTACCGAACTTTCACACGAAAATCACTCACTACGAAAGCAAAAGACTTGGCAGACGATGCAACATCCCCCCTATGAAAAGCAGGGGTGTCACTAGCACGTTAAGAGACCATACAATAAGTGTCAGGGGCCCGAGAGTGTTCAACTGCCTCCCAGCATACATAAGGGGGATTACCAACAGACCCCTGGCAGTCTTTGAGGAGGTGCTGGACAGGCAACTAAAGTCAGTACCTGACCAGCCGGGCTTTGGTTCATACGTCGGGTTGCATGCTGCCAAGAGTAATGGCCTGGTTGATCGGGGCCTGATTCACCATGAGGACTGATCACAGACCGGGCTGCGGGGGCATTGACCCCTGAAACTCTTTCCAGGTATATGCCAGATACGAAGAATATTAAATGAATTATCTTGATAGGCTAAAAAGTTGTTTGTGACTGATTATGACTGATCAGTGAAGTCATCAGTATAATCATACTATCTGATAGACTTCATAAACTATCCATGACTGTCACTGGTCAGTCAAGTCATTACTAAGCATACTAATCTAGTTAAGGCTGCCCCAGACTACTTATGTCCCGAACAGGGGAAATTAGATGAAGCAGAAATATCCATAAATGGATAAATAACAGATTAAAACACCTGACAGGTCAAGAGAGTCATTAACAGGTGAATCAATACAGGTGAGAGATACTTAAGACATCAATATATTCAGATAACCCTTAAACGGTCCAAACGTATATATACGTTCTTACACGTAATGCCCCAAATGTATATGTTTTATTTTTCCTGCCTTCAAATTTGGTGCAATTGGCCTGAGATGCCTTGTCAGCATAGAATGGGTCCTAACACTCAGTGTGCGCAGTATTAAAAAAATCTGGGACCACATAGTACCTTGTGGGAGCACCAGTTAATTGAGTGCCAGCTAGAGCAAACAGTTGGGCAAACACCAAGGATTCACTGATATAATGTCATATTAACACTCCTCTTTTAAGAGGAAAGTGATGTTAACCCCAAGTTTAGGGTCTGCTATCTCTGTATCTGTCTATCTCTGTATCTGTCTATCTCTATCTGTCTTCCTCTGTCTATTTGTCAATCTCTGTCTATCCCTGTCTCTGTCTACCTCTGTCTCTGTCTGTGTCTGTCTCTGTCTATCTGTCTCTGTCTCTATCTGTCTTTGTCTATCTGTCTCTCTATCTCTTTCAATCTGCCTCTCTATCTGTCTGTCTATCTCTGTCTCACAGGTACACATAAATACAAGTATACATAGTATAAATTACCTAGGATAACCCAAAAAATCCAGACAAAGTGCTATACTCTGCTTGAAGATGTGAGTAGACGTGATGACGACGCAGTCTTGTGGCTCTCTCTGAGACAGAGAGCTAGACGGATAGACAGATAGACAGGGAGCTTGACAGACAGACAAATAGACAGACAGACATGTTTGTGTACCAGTAAAAACAAAGTGAGGGCGATGCTCATCAAATATCACCTCTAATATTTTCTTATCAGCTGCACCCTCCCCCACCCTCGTGTATGCTCATCAAATGTCAGCTCTTATCAGTTGTTATCTCATCATGTCACTGTCAGGGGTGGACTTTGTTTTTCATGCTTCAAGGGAACTTACTATTATTATTATTATTATTATTATTATTATTATTATTATTATTATTATCATTATTATTATTATCAATGTATTATTCTTCCCTTCTTCTTCTTCTTCTTCTCCTTCTTCTCTCCTTCTTCGTCTCCTTCTCCTCCTCCTTCTCCTCCTTCTCTTCCTCCTCCTTCTCTTCCTCCTCCTTCTCTTCCTCCTCCTTCTCTTCCTCCTCCTTCTCTTCCTCCTCCTTCTCTTCCTCCTCCTCCTCGTCCTCCTCTCTCCTCTTCCTCTCCTCCTCTTCCCTCCTCCTCCTCCTCCTCCTCCTCTCCTCCTCCTTCTCCTCCTCCTTTTCTCCTCCTCCTTCTCCTCCTCCTTCTCCTCCTCCTTCTCCTCCTCCTTCTCCTCCTCCTTCTCCTCCTCCTCTCCTCCTCCCTCTCTCCTCCTCCTTCTCCTCCTCCTCTTCCTCCTCCTCCTCCTCCTCCTCCTCCTGCCTCCTCCTCCTCCTCTCCTCTTCCTCTTCCTCCTCCTCTTCCTCCCCCTCCTCCTCCTCTCTCCTCCTTCTCTTCCTCCTCCTCTTTCCTCCTCCTCTTCCCTCCTCCTCTTCCTCCTCCTCTTCCTTTTCCCTTCCTCCTCCTCTTCCCTCCTCCTCTTCCTCCTTTTCTCCTTTCCTCTTCCTCCTCCTCCTCCTCCTCTTCCTCCTCCTCTTCCTCTTCCTCCTCTTCCTCCTCTCCTCCTCTCCTTCTCCTCCTCCTCCTCCCTCCTCCTCCTCCTCCTCCTCCTCCTCCTCCACCTCCTCCTCCTCCTCCTCCTCCTCCTCTCTCCTCCTCCTCCTCCTCCTCCTCTTCCTCTTCCTCTTCCTCTTCCTCTTCCTCTTCCTCCTCTTTCCTCCTCCTCCTCCTCTTCCTTCTCCTTCTCCTCCTTCTCCTCCTTCTCCTCCTTCTCCTCCTTCTCCTCCTCCTCCTTCTCTTCCTTCTCCTCCTCCTCCTCCTCCTCACTGTTATTATATACTTCCACATATCCAAAACATTGCTGGGACATATAAATACTTTGTATATATTCCAAGACAATAGTAAATGGCTGAGGCAGGTGTAAATGTCCACTGACCTGTCAGTGTTTTTGTGACAATTTGAGTACAATTTCAGTACCTAATACTAGTGTCAGAACAAAGATTGGTTATAAATGACAAGAACTACTACAAATTGTAATTATCAGAATATAAAAATTACATAAAATAATATGAAAAATAGAAAAAAAGGTATATCGGCAACACTTCTGCAAGCGGCTGGACTCCATGTTGCTGTCACACGAGCATCCAGTGCCAACTTCTCAGCCTCATATCTCGGTAAGTGCTGACCCTAAATTTTTTTTTATTCTAAAATAGTTAAAAAAATGTGCTCTTTTTTCTGTAAAAAAAAAAACGATTTTTTTTTTCAAAATATTCGTGAACGTATATATACGTTTGGACCATTTAAGGGTTAAAAAGAGTAATAAAAGAGAAATAAAAGCCAAAAGAGATTATGAAGTTAGTCACAGGTTATTTGACGATTAACCCAAAATGTTTCTTTCAGGTTTATAGGAGTAAGATGAGGGACAAGACTAGGCCTACTGAAAAGTTGCTAAGGTCGGCCTACTGTTAGTGACAAAGAGATGTGTACAACATTTAACACTTATTTCCTCTCATTTTTTTTGTATGCAGCAAGCAAGATACTAGTGAAATTCCAGAAATAAAAAAAGATATGAGTCAGGGTGAAAATATGTTAAGCACAGACAGAGTCACCAGTGACATGGTTCTCAAACAAATCAATAAATTAAAACCTAACCTAACAATTCTCTGGGCCCTGATGAACTGTTTACAAGGCTTATAAAGGAACATAAGGAAGAATTTGCAAACCTTTGGCAAGTCTTTTCAACATATCACTACAGATTGGTATAGTGCCAGATTAGTGGAAAATGGTAAATGTGTTACTTATCTGCAAAGCAGATGACAGGTCTTAGCTTTGAACTATAGACCAATAAGCCTAACCTCCATTGTGGGAATACATGTATTGGACTCACTAATTGCTGAGGTTATTTGAAGTCACCTTGAAAGACAAATTGATCAGTGAATCTAAGTACAGTTTTATAAAGGGTCGTTCCTACACACACAGATTTACTAAATTTTTTCACTGAGGTATTAGAGGAGGTAGATCATAGTAGTGAATATGATATTGTGTATATGGACTTTAGTAAGGCTTTTCATAGAGTTCCACATTCGAGGTTATTGAGGAAAGTAGCGGTACACGGTATAGGAGAAATTTTTTCCTGGATAGAGGCATGGTTGACAGATAGGCAACTGAGAGTTTACATAAATGGGGAGAAATCAGAGTGGAGACTCATCGCAAGTGGTGTTCCACAGGGGTCAGTGTTGGGTCCTTTGTTCACAATTTACATAAATGACATAGATGAGGCAATAAACAGTAACATAAGCAAGTTTGCCAATGACACCAAAATAGGCCATCGAATTTATTCTGACAAGGACACTAGAGCGCTACAGGAAGATCTGGATAAACTGATGTCGTGGTCGGAGAAGTGGCAGATGCAGTTTAATATAGACAGATGCAAAGTTCTAAGCCTGGGAAAAGAAAATAACCATGAGGTTATAAACTAAATAATGTTGATCTTAACCCTTTCATGGTCGGCCCCATTGTATAACAGCTTTGAAGCCAGTGTCAGTCCTGTAGCATAATGCCATGAGCTCAGCTCACTCAGGTAAGCTGTGAGCACTAAATTTGGGTCTAGATATGAGACAATGGGTCTATGTGGTAAGTGTTCAGCATATAAAAAAGTCCTGCAGCATGCAATGCATAATGAGAAAAAACTGTGTGTTTTTAGTTTAACAACAGTGACTTCGCGGTGTATTTTGGTATGGTTTTTATGTTTGTATTCTCGGTTTCTTGGTCTCATTTAATAGAATGAAAGATATACGTATTACAAAAATAGAGATGATTTTGGTTGGTTTCAGAACAAAGTAGCTTGAAACTGAGCTGAAAATGTTTGATTTTTGCTGATATTTCAGAGTGCACAAATTACGTCACTTGTCCAATACACATCCAACTGGCCAGTCTAATATGCATTTATGCATGCACTGACATTATTTATACAATTATTACAATAATGCAGTAGTCTGCATAACAGTAAATCTTCTATTATTTGTGTGAATAAAAATCCTAACTGGAAAGCAAGTGTAATATAAGAGGGGCCAGGAGATGTGACTAATGAACAGAGAAAATGTTATTTTAGTGCCAGGAATGTCTGCATTGTTATTCTGGACCCTAGATTGAAATTGGCATTTCTTGAATTTTGTGTGAAATTAGCCAAATTACCAATTTCTGATAACTTTATTGGGTAATTTAAATAGATGAATGGACAGTTTCTTGTACTTATTCAATAGAATGGAGGACATACTAGTGAAGTAGCTAAGAATTGGCCAAAGATAACTTGCAAAGTGGACAAAATTTCCGATGCACAAATATTGCTGACACAGCAAAATTTGTGAAAGCATAAATGTGTCAGTTTTCCATCAAATTTTGTACTTTTTTGTTTTATTACCTTCAGAAAAAGATTTTCGACTATTTCATAAGAAAATATAACATTTTTTTTTAAAATTTTGTGACCCTGAGAGCAAGTTTGAGAGCAGCAGTTGCGACCCTGGAAAGGTTAATTACTCAGAATGTGAAAAAGGTTTAGTTGTTTTGGTAGCAGTAATCTAAAACCCAAGACAATAGTTTGTAAGTGTTCACAATAAAGCAAATGTAATTCTTGGCTTCATATCAAGAAAAATAAATAACAGGAGTCCTCAGGTTATTCTTCAGATCTATATATCATTGGTTAGGCCTCAGTTAGATTATGCTGCACAGTTCTGGTCACCATATTACAGAATAGACATAGTTGTGCTGGAAAACTTACAGAGAAGGATGACAAAGTTGATCCCGTGTATCAGAAATCTTTCCTATGAGGATAAACTGAAGATACTGTCTAAAGTACGAGGATAGACTGAGGAGAACACTGTCTATCCTACGAGGATATACAGCCTCTCCTCACTTAGAGACGTACTTGTTTACCGGCGCCTTGGACTTATGATGGGCTCTCTGACCAGTATGCATACCTAAATAATGTATATTAGGGCTGATGTCCTCTTCTTTTTATTACACTATATGGTACACTAATGTATAAACATTTAAAAATACATATACCAGAAATGTTAAAATTACATATACCAGAAATGTTATAAATGGTGCAAAGATGACATTAAAACAATATCAAAGATGGTTGACACAAACTCACTGCCATTATAGTATGCTCCTCACTTAGTGATGAATTTGTTTACCAACGTGGTCTTAGAAATGGAACCCCATCATTAAGTGAGGAGAGGCTGTACTGAGGGCACTGTCTATCCTATGAGGATAGACTGAGGGCACTGTCTATCTTATGAGGATAGACCGAATGTACTGTCTGTGTTATGAAGATAGACTGAGGGCACTGTCTGTCCTACGAGGATAGACTGAGGGCACTGAATTTGACCTCTACAAAGGCATGCAATTAGAGAAGATATGATTGAAGTGTATAAATGGAAATCAGGAATAAATACAGGAGATATCAATGATGCACTAAATATATGTAACCAAGACAGGAGTTACAGCAGTGGTTCAAATTGGAAAAAAATAGGTTTATAAAGAGTGAAAGAAAACACTGGTTTGGTAATAGAGTTGTGGATGAGTGGAACAAACTGCCAGGTAGTATCATTGAAACTAGAACCTTAGACAGGTACAGGTGTGGGTGTGCAGTGGACCTGCTTAACTTGGGCCAGTAGGCCTACAGCACTTCTTCCTTCTTACATTATTAAAAATGGCTTGGCTTGGGCAGGTTGTGGTGATCACAGGTGCTAACTCGGGCATCGGTAAGGAAACAGCACGGGACTTGGCTGCCCGAGGAGCAGTTGTCATTCTGGGGTGCAGGAGCCGCCAGGCAGCACTGCAGGCAGTGCGTGACATACGTACCACTACTGGCGATGGCGACCTGGTTAGTGGACAACTTATTAAATGTACATAAATCTTTGCATTTTTAAAATTGGAGCACAGTTTAGTGCTCCAATTTTTTTTTTCACAGTGATAGTGTTATAGCTACTTTCACAGTGGTGGAGGACCCTGCACCAATGTTATCACTACTTTCACAGTGGTAGAGGACCCTCTGCTTGTGCCATAATTAAATTTGCACCCTAACACACTTTCCACACCCTAAGGCACTTTCTGCACCTCAAGGCATTTTCAGCACCCTAAGTCACTTTCCACTGCAGATCGTCATGGATCTGGACCTTGGGGACTTGGCATCAGTGCGAACCTTCGCCACAAATTTGCTGCGAAAGTTTGACAAAATTGATGTGCTGATCAACAATGCCGGAGTGTACTTCCCTCCGGAGGAACGGAGGAAATCCAAGGACGGTTTCGAGATCCACTTTGGAGTCAACCATCTGGGGCACTTTCTCCTCACCCACCTGCTACTTACCACCATTAAAAGTACTCCCGGTTCTCGGTAAGTACTCATACTTACCAACATTAAAAGTACACTCAGTTCTTGGTAAGTACTCATACTTACTGCCATTAAAGATACTTGTGGTACTCAGTAAGTATGGGGGTGGGGCCCCTGCATATACAGCAGGTTAGGTCCCTGGCTACTGCTGTACAGGGGGGGCCCTGCTTATACAGTAGGGTAGGTTCCTGGCTACTGCTGTACAGGGGGGCCCTGCTTGTACAGTAGGGTAGGTTCCTGGCTACTCCTGTACAGGGGGCCCCTGCTTATACAGCAGGTTAGGTTCCTGGTTACTGCTGTACAGGGGGGCCCTGCTTATACAGCAGGTTAGGTTCCTGGCTACTGCTGTACAGGGGGGCCCTGCTTATACAGTAGGGTAGGTTCCTGGCTACTGCTGTACAGGGGGGCCCTTCTTATACAGCAGGTTAGGTTCCTGGCTACTGTTGTACAGGGGAGCCCTTCTTATACAGCAGGTTAGGTTCCTGGTTACTGCTGTACACGGGGAGTCTTGCTTGTACAGCAGGTTAAGTTGCTGGCTGCTGCTGTACAGGGGGTCCTGCTTATACAGCAGGTTAGGTTCCTGGTTACTGCTGTATAGGGGGGCCCTGCTTATACAGCAGGTTAAGTTCCTGGTTACTTCTGTACAGGGGGGGCCCTGCTTATACAGCAGGTTAAGTTCCTGGTTACTGCTGTGCAGGGGGCCCCTGCTTATACAGCAGGTTAGGTTCCTGGTTACTGCTGTACAGGGGGCCCCTACTTATACAGCAGGTTAGGTTCCTGGTTACTGCTGTACAGGGGGGCCCTGCTTATACAGCAGGTTAGGCTCCTGGCTACTGCTGTAAAGGGGGGCCCTGCTTATAAAGCAGGTTAGGTTCCTGGTTACTGCTGTACAGGGGGGGCCCCTGCTTATACAGCAGGTTAAGTTCCTGGTTACTGCTGTACAGGGGGGCCCTGCTTATACAGCAGGTTAAGTTCCTGGTTACTGCTGTACAGGGGGCCCTGCTTATACAGCAGGTTAAGTTCCTGGTTACTGCTGTACAGGGGGCCCTGCTTATACAGCAGGTTAAGTTCCTGGTTACTGCTGTACGGGGGGCCCTGCTTATACAGCAGGTTAAGTTCCTGGTTATGCTGTACAGGGGGGCCCTGCTTTAAGCAGGTTAAGTTCCGGGTTTTACTGTGTACAGGGGACCCTGCTTATACAGCAGGTTAAGTTCCTGGTTACTGCTGTACAGGGGGGCCCTGCTTATACAGCAGATTAAGTTCATGGTTACTGCTGTACAGGGGGGCCCTGCTTATACAGCAGGTTAAGTTCCTGGTTACTGCTGTACAGGGGGGCCCTACTTATACAGCAGGTTAAGTTCCTGGTTACTGCTGTATAGGGGGGCCCTGCTTATACAGCAGGTTTAGTTACTGCTGTACAGGGGGGCCCTGCTTATACAGCAGGTTAAGTTACTGCTGTACAGGGGGGGCCATGCTTATAAAAGCAGGTTAAGTTATGCGGTACAGGGGGGCCCTGCTTATACAGCAGGTTAAGTTACTGCTGTACAGGGGGGCCCTGCTTATACAGCAGGTTAAGTTACTGCTGTACAGGGGGGCCCTGCTTATACAGCAGGTTAAGTTACTGCTGTACAGGGGGGCCCTGCTTATACAGCAGGTTAAGTTACTGCTGTTCAGGGGGCCCTGTTATACAGAGGTTAAGTTGCGCTGACAGGGGGGCCCTGCTTATACAGCGGGTTTAAAAGTTACTGCTGTACAGGGGGGCCCTGCTTATACAGCAGGTTAAGTTACTGCTGTACAGGGGGCCCTGCTTATGCAGCAGGTTAAGTTACTGCTGTACAGGGGGCCCTGCTTATACAGCAGGTTAAGTTACTGCTGTACAGGGGGCCTGCTTATACAGCGGGTTAAAGTTATTGCTGTACAGGGGGGCCCTGCTTATACAGCGGGTTAATTTTACTGCTGTACAGGGGGCCCTGCTTATACAGCAGGTTAAGTTACTGCTTTTACGGGGGGGCCCGTTATACAGCAGGTTTTAAGTTACTGCTGTACAGGGGGGCCCTGCTTATACAGCAGGTTAAGTTACTGCTGTACAGGGGGGGCCCGGGTTTATATGCAGGTTAAGTTACTGCTGTACAGGGGGGCCCTGCTTATACGCAGGTTAAGTTATACTGTACAGGGGGGGCCCTGCTTATACGCAGGTTAAGTTAAACTGCTGTACAGGGGGGCCCTGCTTATACAGCAGGTTAATTTTACTGCTGTACAGGGGGGCCCTGCTTATACAGCGGTTAAGTTACTGCTGTACAGGGGGGCCCTGCTTATACAGCAGGTAAGTTACTGCTGTACAGGGGGCCCTGCTTATACAGCAGGTTTAAGTTACTGCGTGTACGGGGGGGCCCCTGCTTATACAGCAGGTTAAGTAATGCTGAAACAGGGGGGCCTGCTTATACAGCTGGTTAAGTTACTGCTGTACAGGGGGGCCCTGCTTATACGGGCAGGTTAAGTTACTGCTGTACAGGGGGGCCCTGCTTATACAGCAGGTTAATTTTACTGCTGTACAGGGGGGCCCTTGCTTTTTACAGCAGGTAAGTTACTGCTGTACAGGGGGGACCTGCTTATACAGCAGGTTAAGTTACTGCTGTACAGGGGGGCCCTGCTTATACAGCAGGTTAAGTTACTGCTGTACAGGGGGACCTGCTTATACAGCAGGTTAAGTTACTGCTGTACAGGGGGGCCCTGCTTATACAGCAGGTTAAGTTACTGCTGAAAAACAAAAATCACTGTAAATTTTAAAAAAATTTTTTCACTTTTAATTGCATATAAAAGCCTGATAACATTTTGCTTATCATATATTAAGGTTTAACTGTCCAAACATTGATGTACGTTCTTACTGCTAGTCCTCCAAATATACATCGATGTTTTATTTTTCCTGCCTTCAAATTTGGCACTAGAGGCCTGATAGGCCTAGACAGTATAGAATGGGTGTTAACACTCAGTGTGTGCTGTATTAAAATACTTAGTAGCTTGTGGGAGCACCAGTTGACTGAGTGTCAGCTTGAACAAACAGTTTATCAGACACCAGGGAGTCACTAATGTCATGTTATATTAACACTCGACTTTTAGGAGGAAAGTGATGCTGACCTTGAGCTTAGTGGCTGTCAGATGGATGTGGTCAAAAGTTGTCAAGGAAATATAAAAAACTTTGATTATAACCCATGTGTAATGTTTGTGCAACATCCTTTCAGTTTTGATACCACTGGTAGTTTCATCCTACCAGAATGTCCTGTCACCTATGTTCTGAGTGGAGGGAGGGAGAGAGGGAGGACTCTGCAACATGTGTAATACATGTTTGGGTGGCTGGCTACCTCTGTGTATCTGTCTCTATCTCTGTCTGCCTGTCTCTATCTCTGTCTGCCTGTCTCTATCTCTGTCTGCTTGTCTATGTCCCACAGAGAGCTGCTCATGAACCAGAATTAAGGAATAAGTAACTTTATTTAGGCACAGGTACACATATATACAGTTATTATTTATAGTGCAAATTACCTAGGATAACCCAAAAGAAAAGGTCAGGTAAAGTGGTATTGTGTGCTCGCAGATATGAGGCATAATTATGACTAGCAAGTAATACGCATTTTCACTTGTTCAGAATTAACGATTCTGCAATGTGTAATACCTGTTGGTCCATAAGTGGCTCTATGTAAGGGAGAGAGAGAGAGAGATAAACAGAGATAAAGATAGAGATAAAGACAGACAGAGATAGAGATAAAGATAGACAGACAAACAGATCAAGACAGACAAACAGACATGTTTATGAGTAACAGTGAGAATAAATATAAAACATATGACAAGGTTCACTGTCAGCAGTGTAGTGACCACTGTCAGCAGTGTAGTGACTGCACTGTCAGCAGTGTAGTGACTGCACTGTCAGCAGTGTAGAGTGACTGCACTGTCAGCAGTATAGAGTGACTTCACTGTCAGCAGTATAGAGTGACTGCACTGTCAGCAGTGTAGTGACCACTGTCAGCAGTGTAGTGACTGCACTGTCAGCAGTGTAGTGTGACTGCACTATCAGCAGTGTAGAGTGACTTCACTGTCAGCAGTATAGTGACTGCATTGTCAGCAGTGTAGTGACCACTGTCAGCAGTGTAGTGACTGCACTGTCAGCAGTGTAGTGTGACTGCACTATCAGCAGTGTAGTGACCACTGTCAGCAGTGTAGAGTGACTGCACTGTCAGCAGTATAGAGTGACCACTGTCAGCAGTGTAGTGTGACTGCACTATCAGCAGTGTAGAGTGACCTCACTGTCAGCAGTATAGAGTGACTGCACTGTCAGCAGTGTAGAGTGACTGCACTGTCAGCAGTGTAGAGTGACTGCACTGTCAGCAATGTAGTGACTGCACTGTCAGCAGTGTAGTGACTGCACTGTCAGCAGTGTAGAGTGACTGCACTGTCAGCAGTGTAGAGTGACTGCACTGTCAGCAGTGTAGAGTGACTGCACTGTCAGCAGTATAGAGTGACTGCACTGTCAGCAGTGTAGTGTGACTGCACTATCAGCAGTGTAGATGACCCACTGTCAGCAGTATGAGTGACTGCACTGTCAGCAGTGTAGAGTGACTGCACTGTCAAACAGTGTAGTGACTGCACTGTCAGCAGTGTAGTGACTGCACTGTCAGCAGTGTAGGTGACTGCACTGTCAGCAGTGTTAGGAGTGACTGCACTGTCAGCAGTGTAGAGTGACTGCATGTCAGCAGTGTTAGAGTGACTGCACTGTCAGCAGTGTAGAGTGACTGCCCCTGTCAGCAGTGTAGAGTGGGCCACTGTCGCAGTTTTAGAGTGACTGCCATCAGCAGTGGAGTGACTGCCCCTGTCAGCAGTGTAGTGACTGCACTGGTCAGCAGTGTAGAGTGACTGCACACTCAGCAGTGGAGTGACTGCACTGTCAGCAGTGTAGTGACTGCACTGTCAGCAGTGTAGAGTGACTGCACACTCAACAGTGGAGTGACTGCACT